ACTACAGTTAATTAAAATACAACTACTGCACTCAGATGATCTCCATTTCACTAACTGTGTGACTTCTAGAACAAACTGGCTGCAACTATGTTTGTTTAATTCGGTGAGTCACTTTGAAAGGTGTAAATTCTTGTCAAAAAAAAGCCCAATTCAAGTTAAATATACGCAAATAATCTGCTACTCTCAGCACACAGTGTAAAATACTTACTGATAGTAGAGTCTCAATATTTTCCTGCAGAAAAGAAGCAATGTCCTTCCAGTCCAGGATGTCCCCTAACCAGCTGTTGTGCCTCTGAGCCATCATCTTCTGCCCACGGTGTCGTCCAGAGTGGGTCACATTCTGCAAACATTTACACAATATTTGATATAAAGATGGAAAAACACTGAGTATACAATATTGGCAGGCGGTAAAGCTTCACTCTCTCACACTACCTTCACAAACCAGGAGTGGTACAGTCGGTCCCACAGCTCCAAAACCTGCTTCTCGATGACCGCTGTGTGGTTCACCTTGTCTCCTAACATCTTATGAAGCTGCACACAAAGGAAAAACATTTGTTCTCACTGTCAGTGTATTTTGTTGTTGCTTGTATTTTCCTCATCGCAGCAAATTATGGTTCCAACCTTCTGCGTTATCCATTCTCTCCCGTGCTGATAAACATTAGTAGCAGCTGAATTCAGAGCCTTCTGCACCACACGGGCCTCCGGAAGCCAACTAGAGGAGGACAGAATAAAAGACGAGAGGGGTTCAGTAAGTTACAAATAATAAAGAAAGAAAGATGCAAATGAAAACAGTCTAGTGTCCTACTTGGCCCATTCTGGATGGTTGGATACAGTCTCGTTGATGAGGTTGCTGGTTACCTCGATGATGTGAGCACTTTCATGATGAACCTAGAAAGATAAATGCACATTTATTAACTATTCTATACAACAGAAGTGAGCGTCCAAAACTCTAAATGTCAAATGAGCCAAGTAAGTGAAACAATATTTACTCTTAAGAACAAAAACAAATTCTTGAAAACGACTGCACTGAAAATTCAGGCCCCAAAGTAGACACTCAATGCAACAAAAGCAAATACGTCTACGATCGCTGAAATTAATTGGAGTACACCTGTGATTTCCATTCAGCCTGACTGCATAAATGGTTATAAAATGTACTACATGCTGCAGGGTGGCGCAGTTGGTAGCACTGTTGCCTCGCAGCAAGAAGGTTGCCGGTTCATGTCCCGGTGGGGACACCGGAATCCTTCTGCGTGGAGTTTGCATGTTCTCCCCGTGCAGCGTGGGTTCTCTCCAGGTTCTCTGGCTTCCTCCCACACAGTCCAAAAACATGCCAAGGTTAATTGGTGATTCTAAATTGTCCATAGGTGTGAATGTGAGTGTGCTTAGTTGTCTGTCTCTAAGTGTAGCCCTGTGATAGACTGGCGACCTGTCCAGGGTGTCCCCTGCCTTCGCCCTAAGTAGACTCCAGCCCCCCAGGACCCTAATGAGGATTAAGCGGTGTATAGATAATGGATGGATGTACTACATGCATCATGACTCCCCATTAAAAATAATTGCCACAGGAACTGAAAAATCTGGTAGTGAGGCTTCGCAAAGATGGAAAAAGGATCCAGAAAGATCAGTTATCAACCAAAGATCTACCAAAACACAGCAGCAGCCGCAATCAGGAGATCTAGAAGAAGCCATAGTAGCACTAATCACGTCTGCAGTGGTCGTCCTCCAAAAACAACACCACAGACTACTTTAAAAATATGGCTGTGAAAAACAGACAGTAGCTGTTTCTGACTTTCAAAACTTGCTTGTTCTTGAAAAAAAAAAAAAAAACACACACACAAGATGAAACTTTGCTAAAGAACATGAAAAGAAGCCTAATGAATGTTGGAGAACATTCTTTGGTCAGATGAAGATAAATGTGTTGGGCTCAGATGGAGTCCAGCATGTTTGGTGTGAACCTGACCAGGACCACCACAGTGGATGCATCGTCCTGACAGGGAAGCACGGAGGTGGCAGCATCATGATATGGAGCCGAATGAGGGCAGAAGGTGTTGATGACATTTATAGATGAGTTTCTGTGGATAAACTAAGATGACTCCCAGTCTGCAGAAGTTTAGCATTAATTTCACAGGATGAAAACCTACCATAGCAGTCAGCAGCAGAGCCATGAGCAGCGTCCCTGTGACCAGGAGGAAGATGATGAAGATGCTGATGATTTTATCCAGCGATCGCTCCAACCACACAATCATCTGCAGAGAGGAGAGGGGGAGGAAAAGAGAGAAGAAGAAATAGAGGAAAGGGAGAAATGACAGGGAAGAACAGAAGAAGTCAGTACAATCCAGACGGAGGTGAACTCATACAGCGATCAGGAACATGGAGAAACCTGTGTTCTTCCCGTGTGAAGATGCCATTTTGGATCTAAAAGATGCCCCCTTGAGCCCAGAGGATAATAAAGTGGTCAACTAAACGACAGCTGTACACAAACATGCACACATCCTTCAGCATTAAGGTGCATGCAGGAGTTTAATTCAGAATGTGTGCTGCTGTGAGTCTATGAGTTTATTTCAGATGTGATCGGTTCTATCATCGTGTTCATTCTTAAACTCAGGTTTCTCGATGCTTCAAAACAGTTCATCACCACTTTTAGTCTTCATGTCTGTGCTCATGTGTTAATTCCACAAAAGCATTAAATTAATCAAGTTACTGGAGTCCATGTTAAGTGACTGGGAGGAGCTCTGTTAGAGGACGCCTCTGTGTTTAGGCTTAATGGTTGGATATTATATGGATGGTGACATGATGTGAAGTCAGTACGGCTCACTCTGCATCATTATAACGACACATTATCACAGCGGTAAAGCTCAAGGCGATATGTGTGATCTTTTCTGTGACTATATCATGAATCAAATCGGATTTTTTCTTTACCAAGCACAACACTGCAGCCTTACCTTATAAAGGAGCAGAATTCTACCTGGCAGACTGACTGATGTGGATTAAGCTCAACAACTTGGTAAACAAAAAAATGGAAACACATCAAATAGGATTTCAATTTAGAATGAAGTCATTTGGGAAATTAAAGAGGAAAATTAGGCGTAAAGTATGAATTAGCAGCAAATGTCTGCTTTAGACAAGACTTGACACTCAACTCGAGATCACTAATTAGTTTGTGTTTTATATTACTGCATGTAAATATAGTGCTAATTACAAAAAAATACTATTTCAAATACAACTCTAAGAAAGTATGGTGTGATCAGTCATCATTTTGCTGCATGCAGATGACGTGATGATTAATGGAGGACAGAGGAAAAAACCTTTTAAATACTTTAATACGCTGTAAAATTGCAGTGAATCTGCAACAGCACAAGCTCGTACACATGAGCTGGTCTTATGTGTGAAGGAGCCCACTAAAGGTCACGGCAAGAGCTAACGCAAAAAGTACTGCAAGAGGTGGGAAATGTTGCAAGGTGAAGCAAAAGCAACACTAAAACATTGCAAAGGAAGTGCAAAAGAACTGAGCGGGAACAGAAAAGTATTGCAAGGGAACACAAAAGCATCGGGAGGTCACACAAAAGTATCACGAGGGAACGCCAAAGTATTGGGAGGGGATGCAAAACTATTGCAAAAGGACGAAAAAGTATCGCGAGAGGTAGGAAGTACATTGAAAAAAGCAACACAGAAGCAAGGAAATGCAAAGAACTCATGCGAGGTAATGCAAAGATATTGCAAAGCAACATAAAACAACTGCAAAGGGGTGCAAAACTACTGCAAGGTAACTCAAAAGTACTGCAAAAGCATCGAGAGGTAACGATAGTATTGCAAGAGAATGAAAATCTAAAAATTTCTTGCCTTGACCCTCTGGGGGGCTCCGTACTCAGCCTGGACACATAAATCATTAAAGAACATCACAAGCGTCTAGTTGAATTTTTTTGAACACTTATTAATTGGAATCTTTTAGAAAACATTTGTGAAATTGTAGAAAATAGCACATCTGTGTGGGACTACTTTCATCTGTGGATTAATACGTCTTTCCAAGTGAGCTGCTGACATCTAAAGCACATCTTCGGTCCCTAAAAACCTGCAGCAACGTCCAGTATCCAACACCACAAAGACAGCTGGAGCTCCTCTGAAGCTAAAAGGTGTGTTTACTGCGCTTAAGTGTTTCCATTGTTTTGTCCATGTCCCGTCCCTCGACCCTTCCGCGGACACTCTCATAAAAACACACCAGGTTTATGAACCAGCATGTGCGCTGACGTCTCTCTCCACCACTCTGCTCGCTCTACACCAGCCGTCTCTCCATGCAGCTCACACACACACACTCTCTGGACAAACCTGCCAGTCACAGATCAAAGCCGGGAAGATACAGACGAGGCCGAGGGATCAGCGAGTCCCGCCTCCGACTGTAGCTTCCTGTAAAGACGTCGGCAGGAAGCGGGGGAAAGCAGCGAGGGGGACAGACGTTAAGACGGGATGACGGGGTGGTGACAGTGGATGGGTGAAAAAAAAAAACGCCAGTCCAAGCTACTACAAGGTGTGCTCACGCCATCACACACACACACACATAAATATACATCAGGTTATTTTAAGGTGAGTCTTTCTCTCAGCACTCTGCTCCCCCACATCATTACCTGCTTGTTAAGCCAATGCCAGAGCTTGGGGAGGAGACAAAGAGACATTGGGAAGATTATTATTGGAAAAGATCTGTGCAGCAGTCATCATATGTACCCATGCCACGAGAAACACAGTGAGGGACCAGGAAGTGGCAGGCAGGACCGGACTACGGGGTGTGAGGATTTCAATGCAAATCAGTGTGACTACAAAGACACGATAACATCCCAGAACACGGGGACAAAGAGAGGAGAAGGTGTCAGCAAAGAGGCCATTTTAGAACACCTGAAAAATAAAACCACTTGTTCCCAGATGCACCTTCACTGACGTCTAGTTTTGTTTCCTTTAAAAGCAGCATTAGGTGATTTTAACCAGTGAGACTAGAGGGGTGTCCTATGAAAACCCTCCTAAAAGCCCGTCAGAGAGAATGGACGGCTATTAATTTGTTCATCACATAATATTGGACTTTTTTCTTCTGCACATAATACTTCAGTCCTGAGGAGCAGGTTGTAATAATGGAGAGCTATGAGGAGATGGAACTTTTTTATTAAGGCAAAAAGCAACACTGCTGCTGCAAAAGAGAGGAATGCTGGTAGAAAACTGTTAATTGTGTAAATAAATCTACTTATTTTGTCCCTCAGTGAGTCTCAATGCACATTAGAGCACTCACAACTGTAAACTTTAATTGATTTAATTATCATGTACACATGATATTGAGAAGGTGCATTTAGGTCTGGAACTCTAACAACTTTTAGGTAAAATCAAAGTCAAATTAATGTCATTGATTGAATATTTACTGACAGACTAATTACTTTTATAATCTATGTTCTGCTGGCAGCACAACCACCAGTACATAATGGTCTCTGCACCACAATAGGACCAAGTATAAAACATATTTATTTATTTTTCTGCATCACAAACAGCAATGCAATGCACACAGTTTGTGCTACTGCAACTGCTTCATTCAGTTTAGTTTGATTTGTTGTCAACCATTACATTATTCTCCAGTTATTCAGACAGACTAATTGGTCTAAAGTCTAAATTCTCTGATTGCAGCATCTTAAATGTGAATATTTTCTGGTTTCTTTCCTCCTCTATGACAGTAAATTGAGTATCTTTGGGTTGTGGGCGACATTTTTAACTATCTACCAACATTTCAGAGACTAAACAACTCACAAATGAATCCAGAAACTAATCAACAGGTTAATCAATGAAAGAAAACAATTGTAGTTCCAATTACTGACTTTGAGCTCAACAGGTCTGCAGGGGGAAGACTCGCATCACACAGTTGATTTAAATCCCAAACTCTGATCAGGTCTGGAGCAGGCTAACTGTTCAGCATCAGTTACCATGATGACGTAGCTCGTTAAAGAGACCCGCTGCAGGCTCAACATACCTCTAACACCTTAACCTTACTTCATCGTGCACCCCTCAGTGCAACAACCTGTACAAACAACACTGACATATTGCTCCTATAAATTCTTTATGAGCAACAGAACAACTTACACACCCAGCAGACGAGCAGCAGCGTTAACATTCATGTGGCCACATGTTGAACCACATTCACTCTGTTTCTAGTTCTGCTTTTGGGAACAGCTTCTCTGTTCATTACTTAATCACTGATGTTGTCTATCTGCCATTCTGAGCAGTTAGTGCACAGTGGGATTATTGGAGCTTTTTGCTAAAAACAGCTGCCAGCTGTTGCTGGAAATGACATTGATGAGTGTTGAAACCAGGCCAAAAGAACAACAACAACAACAACGACAATGGCTACAATGAGTTCAGGGAGACCTCAACGTCAGAGGGAGGGATCTCTTCTTCTTAAAATCCAAGCAGTTTCTGACCATTTTTATTCACTGTGGGCTCAATTTTCACTGTAAAATAAAGTCCTGCAGCTCCATGGAAGCAGAACAACCATGAAGAAGGAGGGAGAACTCAGAAACGTCCGTTATGCAGAATTACACACTTTTAATTCTCTAAATCATTAAGAAAAAGAAGCTGAATATCTTTGATTTATTTTACAAATATAAAAAGAAATTGTGCCCACAGGTGTTGCCAAAACTGGAAAAATGTTAACATTATGTTTTCCACACTACTCTGCACATCAGCTCGAGAAACACCATGCTGACTGTATCTTCCATCAACTTGAGGACAGTATGCTCCTTTACATACTATTTTTAAGCCGTGCTGCATTTATTTCATTAATCAATACGTTTTATTTTGCTTTTAGTCACTTTAAATTGTTTCCATACTTGTCTCCTTTCTGTTCTTGGTCAACACTGCCTACAGCTCAGTTGAATAATTCCTGACTTTTTGCCACGTGACCGCTGTGTAAATTGTGGTTTTTGGTTGCACATCAGAGCACCACATTCTTTGCATTTTACAGAATCTGCTTAGTAGAAACGGTTTATTTCTGAAGACATATAGAATAAAGTGATTTTGATGAAATGTCACAAGTTTAAGCCCAGATTTGGATAATTTTTCTGACTGAACCGCGTGTAACAAATGATCAGATCAAGCGACATTGAAAACTTTAAAATTCTATAATTTTATCTGTTTTTGCCGTTTCTGGCTCCGTCAAATGGTGTAATTTTTGTGACTTTTTAAAGATAACTTGCCTTTCAAACGGCCAGTAGCTTTTGAGGTTAAAGGGCTTTTAAAAAAAAAAACTCTACACAGAGCTGTTTTACATTTTGAGGACTTCAATTTTCCTTAACTTTTTCAATACTTACTTTCCAGCCTTTAAGCTGCAGAAACCCATCAGTCCTGACCTTCAAGATTTATTGGCCAGACAGTCCGTGACAGCCACTGAGGGCCTTTAATATGACAGTGATGAATATACAGCATGAACACTAAAAAGATGTACCAGTGCAGCTTAAAAAATATGTGTCCTGAATAGGATCAAAGCCAGAGAAAACGTGGACAGAGGCGTTACCTTGGTGTCGATACGCAGCAGGAACTGAGCCAGGCCTTTGATGGGTCCCGGCAGCAGGGCCTCCTCGCGCTCACGTCCAAACTTCCCCAACACCGTCCACCACGAGGCGAGGGTCCGCTCTGCAAAGCTCTTCAGACCAAAGTGGACCACCAGCTTCTTCAGCACCCAAACTAAACCACCAGGGCAACACGAAGACCTCAGGACAGGCAGGTGAAAGGAAGTGTGCACATGTGTGTTTGTATTTGTGTTTGTTACCGGCCACAGGGATCGGCAGCAGCTGCAGGATCCACAGGTTGAGCCACACCTGAACCAGAACGATGGCCCACACCAGCAGAATAAAGTAGATATCGCTGGCTCTCTGGGAGCTCTTCTCTCTCTGGAAGAGGCCGGCCGGCAAGGAACGAGAACCCCGAGGGAACCCTGGGGTGACTGGGATGGGACCCGCCGACTGGATGCCATCTTGAGGGTAGAAAACACAGAAGAAGCATATGACTGATGGTAGTCAGAGTGTTGGACACAGTGGATCATAAGAGAACTAGATTAGCCTCGGTGGAACAGAGTTATCAGAGAAACTGTGGACAATTTGTCTTCTTTAACAGCCCTCATGTCATGTGGGGTCCCTCAGGGCTTAGTTCTGGGACTTACTTTGTTCAGTTTGTATCTGATGCCTCTGAGTCATGTTATTTGCAACTTCCAGCACTGTTATACTGACGACTCCCAGTTTTTCCCTTAAATTGCTTTTCAGCACTGAATTGTGGTCAATTTAATTTGGCTTCTTTTTTCAAAAAAAAATAAAAAAAGACAGATTTTTACAAGGTTAATTAAAAATATAAAGATGGTTCTTTGTCTGATGAGACCCAAAATTGAGCTTTTTGGTCATCAGACTAGACGCTACGTTTGGCACATCATCACAAACACACCATCCCCTCTGTGAGGCATGGTGGTGGCAGCATCATGATGTGGGGACAGAAGAATTTACCCCTCCCAAAAAAAGACTCCTTCACATCAAAGTGAAAACAGATTTTTACAAGGTAATGTCAGTTAATTAAAAATAGAAAGATGGCTCTTAGTCTGATGACACCAAAACTGAGCTTTTTGGTCATCAGACTAGATGCTACGTTTGGCACATCATCACAAACACACCGTCCCCACTGTGAAGCATGGCGGTGGCAGCATCATGATGTGAAGCATGGCGGTGGCAGCATCATGATGTGGGGGTGAAGCTTGTAAAGGAAAAGGGGAAAACTAACTTCTGTAAACTTTGTTAATGCCAAACTATATCGACCAAGATTTAATGTTGAAAAACTATAAAAAGGGGAAACTTCCAACGGGTGAATTCTTCTTTTAAGCACTATAAATCTTATTTGGCCTGATAATCATAAAAAATATACACTCTCTGTAACACTACCAGGCCTGGACGGCTTCAAATTTCCTTCTACTTCATACAAATAAAACTGAAGTTACTGGTTTCAATCACATTTCAAGCAATATCACCACCTATTTTCGATCACTAGCAACAAAAATAAAGCACTCAGCCAGAAACCTGGGAGTTGCTTTCAATCAAAACCTCAACTTTAACCAACACATCAAGACTCTTCTTCAACTCTGCCACAGACGAATTAGAAACACTTCTAAGACCAAACCTTCAGCTGCTTATCCGCACTCTTACTTTCTCTTACCTTACTCAGCACAGTCCTGGCTGACTTACAGCAGCTCCCCCATTTGGTACAGAATTCAATTTAAGATTCTCTTCATTACTTTTAAATTGCTACACAGTCTGGCTGCACTTTACATCTCTGAACTTTTAACACCTTCTTCGGCATCTCGAACCCTTAGATCAGAGAATCAATTGCTGTTTAAAGTCTCAAAGTCCAGAGTTAAAACAAAAGGAGGTCTGTGCTTTTACTATTTAAGGCCCAACAGCTCAGTTCAAGAAGCTTTAAAAACCATTTGTATAACACTTGATCTCTTTTTTATTGTTCTTTGTCACATTTCCCTCTTGTGCTTTCATGTTTTCTGTTAATGTTTTATAATTGTTTTTTTCATTGATGCATAGAACACCTTTTAACTCCAGTTTTGAAGGGAGCTACAGAAATACAGTTTATCTGTAATAAAATAAACCGAGCTGAATAAAGAGCAGCTGTCGTACCTGTGCCGGAGTCTTCTCTGGGCTGAGTTTTGGGCTGAAGGTTGCTACAGGAGATGGCCATGTAAATAGTGTTAGCAGCAAACGACAACATCTGCCCCGACAGCTCTCCTGGAGAGATGAAGACAGAATGAAAACAGCTGTAACACACAAAGGCAGAAGAGCAAAAAGGCAAAAAGCTACACAGGAGGCAATCACAGCAGCTCATCAAAGTTAATTATGAGCAGATCAGATCAACGTTTAGGAAAAAATATTTTAATTATTGCAGAGTGGTAACCGTCTGACACCCAAAACCAGCCAGTGGGTTTGAAAAAAAATGCCACAATTGCACTATTATCAGAGCCAGAAACAGCAAAAAGAGAAAAAAAATCAAAGGATTTTCAGTTTTCTGAAAACAAAACATGGGTGATGTTCAGTTTTATTTGAAAAATAACCACATCTAAGCTTGAAATTGTGATATTACATAAAAATCACTGCATTCTACATGAATCTTTTTTTTTTAAATCCCCAAAAATCAGCAGTTTTTCTTCAAAAGAATCTGTAAAAAACTAAAAATTCTGCACTTCTTAGCACAACCAGGAAGATATGAGTTGCTCGGCTGTGACTAACAGTCGGGTGACAAAAATTTGGGAATTTTTCGGCTGAACTGCAGGCTGTGTTTACACAGAACAGAGAGGAGATAAGATGATAAATAAAACATACTGGATCAATAAAATAAGTGCAGCATGGCTCAAAAACTGTATACAGAGGAGCAAGCTGTTGGAAGATACATTCAGCATGGCGAAACATCTTTCAAGAGTTTATATGTAGAGTAGTTCTGTGTTTGTAAAAATGCAAATAATTAAATGTCTGTCGTATGTAGGACCACTATTTTTCCCATTAATGAAAACACCTTCTGACACTTGATGAAAAATGTTGATTGCACGTTTTTCCAGTTTACACAGAATAAGTAATCCAAGAAATTCAACTTTGGTTTTGTCATTTTTTTGATGATTCATTGTATTATAGCTTTGTCATACTGTACAGAAGACATTTCAGAATTTTACTCCTCCTTCTAGCCATAGTTCTGCTGTTTCCATAGAGGTGCTGGACTTCACATCGCAGTGAAAAACGATCCAACAGTGAGTAAAAACCACTCCGAAACTGACGGGGTTCAGAGGGTTAAATGAGACGACTGATACCACTCTTGTGTCTGCAGAGGTTTGGCTCATCATCCTCCAGTTTGTAATGCACTCAAAAACCATTTACTTGTGCTCTTCTTCCAAGCGTCCCTCTCACCCAGTTGGTGTGAAGGCTTCCCACATGGCCGTAAATGTCAACATGCATAAATCCTCACCTCTGCCAGGAACAGGTGGTTTCTCTTGGGAGCCCACGATGAGGAGGCCAACCACAACCACGAATATGGGAACTCTCCACGAGCCAGTCAGAGACACTGGAAACAGAAATACGTCTGATAAATCGGTGTCTGTGTCTGCATGTGTTTATAAACTGGTTATGAAAGTAACGCTGACCTCTGGGGCACCACTTTCTCCTCTCTGTCATATTTCTAAATATATTTTGGCATAAAATGTGGGTTAACATCATCGTGAAGGCATTTTAATAAATGCTCTCCTCCTCAGCAGAACTACTTCTTCAAAGCCTTCAGTCACTTTTCACATTTCACAATCTGAAGGTCAACACTCGCCTTAAGCGTGCTAAAAATACAGACCACTTCCTCGTCTTACTGAGCGGCGCTGCGTGGACTTGTACAGACAGGAGCTTATCCTAAGCACAAAACTACTCGACTCCCTCACCTCTGAAAAAGAACACACTGTCTTTCACCGGAGGCTTATTTTCTGAAGAATTAGAAGAAAATCTCCTCGAGGGGGCAAAAGAGAGAGTTTGCATAAAAGCACCGGCATCCAGCATGTCTGAGCAGGTTCTGCAGACCTCCACACTCACCGATGAAGAAGAGCAGGGCGGCCCAGACGGGGAGAGCCAGAGCCCTGAGGTAGCGCTGGGTGTGGGGGCTCCACTTGAAGCAGACCGCCAGCAAATAGCCGAACACGACCGTGCACACCTGAGAGGGAACACAGCAGGCACAACGTCAAAACATAAAAGTAAAATGTCCAGTCTGACAGGTGCTACTTTGGTTTAACACTCAGAAAGCTGCACTGTTCTGCAACAACTGCAATTTTAAGTGGATCTTTATTGTGACAAAAGCATTTTCATTCATGATTCCAAGCAAAGTTGAACCTTTTGAACCCCAAAGCAGCTGACTTTGAAAGTCATGTTATCTTTAGAAGAAGAGGAAAAAAAAGGCCAAAGTTTCACCACTAATCAAAACAAGAATAATCAGATTATCAGCTTTCCTATGGTCCCTGAACACATCATGTGTGACGTGACAAATCAATGAGGAGAAACAACCAAAGATAAGCTTAAAGTTGCCACTGAAATCACTTCATTCTGCACGTCTCATTTAAAAGATCTCAATATTCTGCATCCTCTGAGAAGCCATGATGGACTCAGCTATGCCCAACAGTTAAGTAACTAAATATTCAAGAGGAAAAGAAAACCTATTTGATCAATAAAACAAACGCAGCATGGCTCAAAAACAGTATAAAGAGACCCATATTGTCAGAAATGTGTTAGAAGATTCATTCAACGTGGTGAAATATTTTTCTAGACTTGATGTGCAAAGTAAAAAACACCTCATTTGTAAAATATCTGAAGCCTTTCTTTTCTTTTCCAGCACTCATAACACCTGTGAGCAAGTGGAAAAATGTTAAACATGCTGATTCTAGTTTCCTAAATTTTTTGTGAGTCCAGCAATCTGAAAAATTCAACTTTAATTCTTTTCCCCCACTCTTTTTATGATTTATGACTTTATAACTGTGTCACACTGCACAGAAGACATTCAAAAATACACGACAAATCACAACAGCTGTCTAATATAATGTGTAGTTATTTTATATGTGACTATTTGCCGTTTAAACAAATTATGATCTCATAATATTGATCCCAAACAAACTATCTGGTGAGACTGATTGTCCAGAACATCGCTGTAGACTACAGCAAACAATAGAATGACTATATGTACGTTTCAAAAGCCCGTCTGTCACCACATCAGAATGTAAAATATGTCACTTTAACATGATGCAACACTGGTCTCCTGATGTTTTCCAAACTGGTTTCACATTTTTAAAGCATTCTAAGAGCCTCGCAGTGATCAAACTTGATTTTCTGAACTTTCCCGACAGTTTGGGCTGAACGATTAATCAAATGCACATCACGATTAAAAAAAAAAATCAGCAAATCGCAAAGGTCGCAGTTTAGAAAATACGTTGTGCAGTTGCCTGACAGATGGTTTAAACTGATTTTACTACTCTTAGCCGTCCTTCTTGTGCGACAGCGACGCTCACCAATCAGAAGAAACCCAAAGAAAACACAAAAACAATGTCGGAAATCTTTAGTCCCCAAGAAAAGCAGCACTTTATGTTGAATATGAAGCTCTGTGGTAACTGTTCAACTCTCAACTCTCTGTTCAAGTCTTTTATCATACATCCCAATTACACATTTCCCCCCAAACTGTTTCTAGTGTTATCAAACTCCTGGGATAAGATGCTCCAGTGTGTGATCTGCTGCTCACAATAACTCCTCTGGTTCCGCGGCACACAAAGAAATCTTTCGATGTAATTTAATATAACGTCCTGCTTCCTATTTATAAACCGAGCCTCTGTGTCGGTCCACCTCCGCCTTCAGAGAAAGAACACGGTGTCCGAGGAGGAGGAGGAGGAGGAGCATTTAATGTAATTTGGATCTGGTCACAGCTAAGCAGAGTTCAGGCCCCCGGAGCTGTTTTGGAATAATAAAGTATTGATCGATCAGTCGCTGGAACCGCAGCAAATTAAATCTGCTGACTTCAGGTTCAGGTTCCAAGAAACAAACTTTCTGCATCGAAGTTAACTGAATGAGCCGGTTTTAGAGATGTTGAAGATAATACGATGCAGTTTGCAGCTTCTTATTCATCATTATGGTTTATTAACTACAGGGGTTAACTCGTGTTTTACTCTACGGCCAACAGTGTTCATAGAGTTCTATCACTTTGAGATGATCAGAATGTGTGACAGTTTACACATTTTTATTTTATTTATTGTGAGCTTGTTTTATTTAAACTTAGGAAATGTGTTCAAGCAAAGCTGTAATTAAAGTCACATATATTGAAAATCTATTTTATGTGTTTTGTGGTTGTTATGAACTTAGAGGTGTGAAAGAGTGAACACGAGAGTCTTTGTGCACTTCCAGCATCTGTAGCTCCACTGGACTACTGATGGAAATGTCAGCACAACAACAACAGAGAGAAATCTCAGTTCTAACAAGTTGTGCAGCTAACGCTATCATTAGCTTTGATAACATGCAAACAGGCCAGAGCTCTGTGGAAGCTATAACACTGAGGGACATTCAGAGATGGTGAAAACTGTGTTTTTATGTCGCTTGTTGTGCTTCAGTTCAACCTAAAGTCAGCTGCTTCTCTCTAGCTCTGCATTTTAATACAGCTTAAGTGTCAATAGGGCTCTTCTCATTTGCATATTTTTCTAAGAGAGTTTAAAACAGTGACGGAAACACAGCTTATTTAGACGACATGTTAAGCTGCAGTCACTTCAGAGTCACTTCTGCACCGCTAACCGCAACATCTGATTAATTCTGCCATATTTCCACCTCAAAGAAGCAACAGAAAGCCCTCTTTTCACAATATCTTTTACATTTGTGTCGCCTGTTTTGCTGTCAATCTGAGATACAGAAGCTTCAGACACTAAAGCCCGTTTAGAACAACAGGGGACATGTGAGACTTTCATTAATTTGATGATAAGTGGCACAACAAGGGACCTTTAATAAGTGTTTTGTTATCATTGACTCCACAGATTATTTTCTCAATGAACTGGTCTTTAACATGCCATAGAATACTATATAACATAGGTCCTACTGAACCAACAGTCCATGATCAATTTAATTTACAATCACAAGACCTACCGAATCAGCAGATATCCAGACCAGACAAACTGGACCCACTCAATTATTACATTTTAATATGACAATCTGCCATCAAGCTATTCATTTATTTTCTGTTGATTAGATTAGAAGGTTTTATGGCTACATGAAGTCCTGCTTCACATGGCTGAAGATGGGTTATGGTTCTATGACTTTGCATGTATCTTCCACACAGTAATAAAGACAATATTAGAGGAAGTGTTTGGATAAAAGGGTGATTTTTGTGGAGCAGATTTGGACCTAAACCCAGCTCCACTCTGACCCAGCTGACACCCACAGAGGGTGCTTTGTCACCGGACAGTGGGTCCATCCAGCTGCTTTCACTCACCCACACAGCGTGGAAACAGTCCAGCGCGGCCCCGATGACCCCGCACACGTGTCCGAGGATCACCTGCATCCCGATGACCCTCCAGGACAGGTAGAGGAAGTAGACGAGCGGCGCCCCGGCCCCGATCACCAGCAGCACCGTGAGCCGCTCCAGCACCAGCCGGCCCATCGTCTCCACCCCGTAGTTGACGCACCACACCGGGACCAGCAGGGTCCCCACCACGATGGGGGTCCCGGTGTCCTGCAGACCGCTGAGCCATGAGCGGCCGAGCCGGGCCAGGGAGTACTTGAAGGGGTGGAGGAAGGTCCCGCAGAGCACCGCCCAGAGCAGCGGCCGGAGGAAGGCCTCCAGGATGAAGTAGACCAGCACGGCCGCCCCGCAGCAGATCGCCACGAAGATCATCGCCCCGGTGTTGTAGAAGGCTTGCTTGATGTTCTTGTCGAACTTGAGGGACGACGGCTGGCTGAGCAGCTGGCTCATCATCCCGACGGCCGGCTGGACGCTCTCCGAGAACGATACCGAGTGAGGCCGCTCGGCGTGAGGGCTCCCCGGGGGGGAGACGGCGGCGGGCTCCGGCGCCGAGTCCTCCTCGTCCGCCATGTTCCCCGCTTCAGCTCCGCGTGACGGAGCAAAACATATGACGTAGCACAGGCGAAACGCCCGAAGGCACCCTGGGAAATGGAGTGTAAATAAAAAAACAAACACTTCCTGTACTTTTATTTCAGGTGGATTAGTTAATTACAGTCTTTTTCTTATTCTTGTTGTTCTAATTTACTATTATCAACTATAATTTATATGAATATTTATTTTATTAAAATAAATGCCATACTATACTATATTGTACTATTTTGTAACATACTATACTATATTATACAATAATTTACTATAGTGTACTATACTATACTAAAATGTACTATGCTGCACTATACTACATTGAAATGTACTATACCACACTACACTATATTGTACTATTTGTAACTCTTTTAAGAACACTTAATTTTATGAACCAATTTATGCCTTCTCTGCATCCGTTTATGTTCAAAATATCGTTGCAAAGGAAAACACAAAGTTCTGCAAGTAGTTGCCAATTCAAAATATAATGTAATGTAATGCAATAAAGCTCTTAGGTATTATGCACTAATTTCAAATATACATTATCTTGTAAACTAGCTTTTTAAAAATGTATTGGTATCCCTGCTGAGTAAACACACATGAAGGCATGAGTGTGTCCTTTGTTTGAGAAAGTGACCTCTTTAGACATGCATGTTGCACCTTTTAACATCAATAAAAAATCAATTACTTTTAAATAATTCATAAACCTCTTGACTTTACTGGATCTACTGTGTTTCAGCAAGATTTCTGCTCATGTTCCAAACTTCCTGTGCATTTTATTTATACCACACATAGCCTCTATGTGTTCTGGAGGGAATCTAGTCATTTTCGAAATCATGTTTATCCTGTTAAAGGTTCTTTGTTGGTGTTAATAAACAGAGCGTGACAGATTGTTTCCGTGGGAGACATTTTAACATATTCAGCCATTTTTAATACAGATCCAAAGGCTACAGTTAGAACCTGGGGAAAAAAAATATCCAAGCAAAATGTTATCAGTCCACAGTTTGCTCCTGTTCAGTGTGTTATTGCTTGTGTCGGCAATAGTAACCCATGTATCAGTCTCTCTTTGTTAAACTCAGTCACAGTGCCACAGTACTGATGAACAACACAGTCTCTGTGGTTGGGGAAGAGCGAAAAATAAAGGAAATCATGGAAAAGTGAGACGAACCAAAACATGAATATAGAAAGTTCATGAAAATCTTTTACATGGTAAATGCATACTGTAGTTCCTAAAACCTCGGAAACTAAATGTTCGACAGCAGTAAACCGTCTTTTTGTCTTTGCTGATATCCACACAGCAGGGGAGAGGGGGGCAGGAGGAAGTTGTGCGAGCTGCTTTGTTTTGCTTTCGTCCTCAGAAATCCGTTGTGTTTTCGCCAAGTTCAACATGAGTCACCGGTGAACAGCGGGTTTCTGAAATCACTCCCAGATTTTCCAGTGCATGCAGTGTTTCAAAGACAAGTGAGATTTATTTACTGGCATGTGTTGTCTTTGTATTTTTTTTATACATATATTTTGTAATATTTGGAAGCTATCATAAATACTGAAAATAACTGGCCTGTTTTAGACTAACACTACTCTGTTGTTTTATCCTCAGACCAGTACATGACACCTCTACAGGATGGGTTTAATAATCCTCTGTATGAGTAGTGAATATATACTCTATCATGTTTAATATTATCTAATACAGTCTCTCATTTTGTGCAAAGTGCACACTTGAATGTGGCATCAGGTAAAAATGGCAACTTTTTTTTTTTTTTTTTATTGCTGCTTCTCCTTCCTCGTGTTCTTGGCTCTGTTGTGCTTCTTTATGGCGTTCCCATTAGCAGGTAGAAGGTGAGAGCTACTATGAGCAACAAGCAGAGGGGCGAGTTGAAGGTCTGGTAGGCTGTGGACGGCATGAAGATGTCCTCGTACTTGTAGATGCTGATCATGTGGTCGCTGACTGGAGGGCTGTCGATGTCGTGCCTCGTGATGGAGCCTGTCGGGAAGGAGATGTAAGACGCCACAAAGGACAAAAAACACGTGATGCCAAAGCTCGATGCTCACCTTGGATGGCGGGTCCCCACGCGAACAGGTAATACCAGGACAGGTGCAGGTCGACCAGCGTCTCCTCTCTGGGGACGTACAGAGGACGCTTGAATCGGCAGGTCACCCGATTGTTCTCAAAGATTCCCTCTTCGTCTCGAGCCGGGTTCCTCTTGATCTCTTTGGCCCACTGACCCACGTTGTAGAAGTGATGAATCCGAACGCGTCCGTTGTCGTCGTGCACGCAGCCCATGACATCGTCTCCTCCCTGAAGCAACGAGGAACAAAGAACTTATTCCAGAATGCAACATTAAATAGAGTAGATCCAAAATAGATTTAAGTTTCTGAGACAGACGCTATAATTGTTTATGCAAGCAAACCTCAGTGTCTTCTGCTATAGAACTATGACATAATTCCATTCCCAAATAATACATCTTAATGCAAAAATTTCATTTATAGAGAATTTTTATTCAACCAATAGGTTTCTTCAGGCTGGGAATGACATAAATAAGTGACAAAAGACAGCAAGACGCAATGTTAGCGATGATGGACTTTCACTACTATATTCAAAATTATTCATATTCTCTCTTAGTAATCAGTGTCAGAGTCCAACAGCTGTTCTAGTGTCTAACAGTCTTTCTGGGATTTAGTTCCTCCAAGTGTCCATCTGCAGCTCTTGGAGCTTGAAGGCTTCCTCTCCATCACTCTGCTCTTCAGTTCCTCCACAGGTTCTGGATGGATTCAGGTCTGGACTCTGGCTGGGCCGCTCCAACATCCTGCAGCCTCCTGATGTTCTCCTCTGTTCTCATGAAGCCGTTTCCTCTGACCAGGCTGTCTGGTCCGTCGGCTCAACAACAGCCCCAAAGCATCACGTTCCACCACCATGTTGGACTGTGGGGATGCTGCTCTTGGCCTTGAATGCTTCTCCTTTCTCTGTGTCAAAGCATCTCCATGTTCATGAAGTGATGAGCAGCAGCTTTCTTCTTTGTCCTGGAGAAGTGGATCCTCTTTGTCTCCATGGAGACCAGCCTTGTTGTTGGTCTGCTGGAGTGTCTGGTTGACATGTTGCTACCAGAACTGCTCACATTCATCAGGATGCTCTTGGTGCTGGTCCTTGGATTCTTCTTGGCCTCCACCATTCTTCCAGTGCAGGGCTCACGTCTGTCCTCCTGCAGCCCTTTGACATGTTCCACAGTGAGGAACTCCTTGGACTTTTTCATGATGTGGCCACTGGAGCTTGAGAACACTTGATATGACTTTATAGCCTTTAACTGTCTTGTGAGCAGCAACTATGTGCAACCACAGGTCCTTGTTTTCAGTCATGACTTGTAACTGACCAGAACTACTGCATCAGCTGTTTACAGTGCATTAGAACACTCATGGTAGAAATTACCAGGAGCATTTGGAATAGTATAGAAGCTGCATTTCCTTAAAAAACTGGCAACAATATCAGAGTAGTTTTGGACATCATCATTCATCATTAACACCTCTACCTCAGTGTTTTATTGTCTTTTGTCCTTGTTTGTGTCATTTCAAGCCAGAATTAACAATGTTGGGCTGGATTGCATGTATAAATAAGTGCTGTTCTGTCTTGCCATAGGTGTATAATAACAGTCTCAATAATCTGAGAGGTTGTGCAGCTTCTCACCATTTTCTTATCAGAGGAGAACCCAACGGCCACCCAGCCATCTGTGTCTGCACTCATCTCGTACTCCACATCTGTCCCGATGCGACGGTAACTCAGAAAGTAGTCGCACGTCTCTGCATCACACCCCGGCTTCCCATACCTGGACACAGACAAAAACAAAACATGATCATTGACAGTCTTCACTTGAAAGGCCCTGCAGACTTGTTGGGCTCAGTGGAGAACGTGTGATTCATGTAGAATACGGTCCAAACAAACATACATGCTCAAAGAACTGGACTTTCATCCACTAGCTATTCATTTGCTGGCAGATTTTCTTTTTTTTTCTGCAGAACCATTTCTGTACAGTTGTTGTATACATATAATCAAGCAGTTCTGACCAGGCAGAAAATCTTTGCAAAAATCATTATTGCTTATATTAGCATTTCTATTCATGGTAGAATCTGTACAATATCATTGTTTTTCAATAATCAGACATGTGCAATATTGTTATTTTCTATGACCAAAGCAATGCAATATCTGAATTTCCCTAAATGGAACAATCTGTACAACATCAATGTTATGAAATGATGCCTACATGTCAGCATTGTGCGCATTGCTGCTGCATCACAAACTTCCCCACTGTGGAATTTATAAAACCCTATTGAGACATTTTGCCACCACTGCAAAGACAGACTGGTTCCGCCACTGCAAACAAACTAGGACAGTTTTTAAATTAGATTCCATGCAGGTTTCAGGAGAGAACAGACAGTGGAGAGGTTTCCCCATTTTAGCTGCAGCTCTGTGAAGTGAGGCCACAGCATCTAGGATGAAGCAGCCCGGGGGGAATATTACAGCTGCACTCCAGCTCTGTTTCCAAGAGGGACGGAGGCGGCGATGTGCAGAAGGTGCATTGTTCTCTAACCTTATGCAGCCTTTGGTGACTCCGCAGTCGCTCACTTTGATCTTGGCGAAGGGGTCGACCGGTGGGGCGGTGGGGAACGGATAACCTGCAGGGTTGCACACAAAACATGGGTTCGGTCAAATAAAATAGGGCCAAGCAAGGCAGCTGAGGAGCCCAAGGAGAGGCCATCTGCACTGTGTGTGTTTGTGCATATGAATGTGTGTGTGTGTGTGAGGACCAAGGGGGTGGGCAGCTGCCTCCATGGAGCTGGCCTGGGTGCTGAAAGGCCCCATGCAGAGGATCCAGGTTGGACCAAATGAGCAGCAGGGCCTCTGAGCATGTAAACAAACCTCTAAGTGTGATTGTACTCTTGACATCCTCACCGTCATCCGACAGATATCTGGACTCCAGGAACTCGGAGGCGAACGTGCTGTAGGAGTCCTTGTGCGGTTCCTGGTGGCCCGGCTCTCCGTGCTCCCCGTGGCCGGTCCGGAGCGCGCCCTCGTCGGTTGGACTCGACGCGACCCCCCGGTATCCGCTCTGGATCAGCAGCATGAGCAGCTGAGCGAGACTCCGCAGGGAAATCATCATGGCCAGAGAAATGGAACGAGCAGCGATGGGTAAAAAACAAAAAACTAAACCGACCTCGGATCGATTTGCATCCTTTTTGCGGTTTGAATTTCTGTATCTTCGCAGGCATCCATCGCAGCGTCACAGACTCATCCCGTCCGGTCGCAGGGACGTGAGGATGCGATTAGGAGGCTAATCCAGCTCCAAATTACCCAGATTCTTAATCTTACCATCTAATTCAGCTACACGCCCGTAATCCTCCCTGAAACCCGAATCTGGATGCCTGCTGGTGTTCATTAATCTCTACATATTCCTCGGTCGGATGAATGGTTTCGTCCGGACGCCCTCCTCCCCGCATCCCGTCAATCACAGCAGCATCCAATCAGGAGCCGCTACGTGCCGCTAACGGGATCGATCAATTGGACATTTAACGCCGCAGTTTAAACAACACAGAAACAAACAAGCCCTAAATGATTCATAAACATGCCACGCTATGATTTACAGAGAGATTGTGTTTGATTAATAGCTTTCTTCTGACTGAAAATGACATAAAGAAGTGACAGAAGACATTAAAACACTGTGTAAATGATGGATTTTAACTATTATGATTTCATTTTTGCACATTTTCACTAATAAAGGCCATGTCTAAATTATTCATACCCCTTGAAACAGTTGAGAAAATACAGTTTCTATAAGATCCCGAATGATCCTGGTAATGTCCAAAATTCAAACCCAAATTATATTTTTGATTTCATATGAGCAGCACTGAAAGAAAAAGAACAAAACTCCAATTTACTAGAATAAAAACTTCC